CCAATGAAAACGGGGGGCGTTCAGGGTGGACTGTGCCAGGTGGTGTAGGAGGGTATACCTGTATAACCTTTTTTTCTATATTTTCAATTTCTTTCCATTCTTTTTTTTTTGCCCCCTAGGCTCCGTTGTGGGTCGTTTGACCTGTGCCCGGGTGGGCTAATTCCCGTAAAAAAAAAAAAATGTAGTAGGAGCGCAGATTTTTTTTTCTTAGACATACAATGCAGATCATGTAACATTTTGATGCTGAAATATCCGACCTTTGAAGTGGGAAGTGCTAGTACAGTATTGTCCTTCTGGTATTATATACATTCTAAAAAAAAAGAGTACTGTACCTCAGTTACAGTACTGGTCTTTAGTACTCTTAACTCAATTGTATTTCTGTAATATACAGTATAAGAGTGCACTGATTACTTGATACCCTTGTTCATGATTGGAATAAACATGGAAGCATTGTACAGTATTAACATATCTTACTTTTGCAGTTATAGTAGTTACCGACCAGGTCCATGTCGATAACAAACATATATTAATAAATTACAGTAATTCTATTATTGATATGACACAAGTATGAATACTTGTCACGATCTCGTACACAGAACTCTTCCTTATATCATCAGAATGTTTTTCTTATTAGAATTGTGGTAGCCTGGATCCCCTGCTTACTATTGGTTATGGGTTTACAATTAACCTAACCTACGGCTCATCCCAGACCCTCACTTCAACTGATGAAGTCTCCACCAATTGAAACTTGGCACCTTGCTCCCAAATACTGTACAATACAGAACTGTATATCTGTCATGCTTAGGATCTTCTGCCACTTAACAACTGACGAGTTTGGCAACACTGGGCTGGTAGAGATCACTTTAGCAAGGAATTAGGTCTTCAATGCTGTGATTGAACTGTTTACTGCTGTGAAGCCTGCAAAACACATTTAGGTTCTAACTTCACTTAATAATACATAAAACATGCCATGCTGTTTAGTGTTATATTTGTATATCATATTTATGGTTAATGCATCAAGAATTATTAAATAATGATTAGAATAATTCATATTTTTTTGGTATTGAACTGCTTCAGCCATAAAGCCCACAAAGCACCTTTAGGCTCTAGCTTCATGTAATCATAAAAAAGCATGGTTTGGTTTTTCTGTGTGTGTGTACACTTGATACATAGAGAATTATTAAAATAATTAATCAAGTAATTATTTATGCATTTTATAGAATTAATATATCTTTGTTACATTTTACCTATATTTTTACACACCCTCCTACCCTCCACTTCTGAATTATACTCTTTTTATCGTTCATTCACTTTTCTTATCAAAACCATTTAACCCTTACAAACACTTGTCAACATTCTGTTATTTCTTTCACATCTACTCGTATATATCCCTTTACTTCTACATTTTGTATTCTATGTATTGCTCTCAAGCATTTTATTACTGTTGCTTTTAGTTCTTCTTCCTCCTCTAACACCTAAAGTTGTTTTTCCCTCCTGTACAGTACTGTATATCAATATCAGCTCCATGATTCCTTGTACTTCCCCATCATTGCCTCCTTCAACATCTTATTCATGTTACCTCCCCACCATTGCCTCCTTCAACACCTTATTCCTGTTACCTCCCCACCATTGCCTCCTTCAGCACCATGTTAAAGTTACCTCCCAATCATTGCCTCCAACTCCATTATTCATGTTAACTCCCCACCATTGTCTCCTTCAACACCATGTTCAATGGGTAGGCTTATGTGAGGATTGTATTTGGGGTAGAGAAAACACACATGCTTATCTTCCTTTAGGTCAAATAAACTACATCGTGATTTGTATTTGTTTTATTCTTTTATACAAAATGTGTGTAAAACTTTTAATGTGTAAACCATGTGTAGTGCATAATGAAGGTCCATTAACGAAATTAGTAATATTACAGCCAAAAATAACAACAATGTATTTAGACACCAAACATTAAAGACTTCAGCTTAACAAGAGTATCATTAAGAGAGTCTATTTCACTAAACTTAAAGAAGGAAGTTGCATCTTTTTCAAGGAAAAAGATGAATTCATAAAAAAATGAAGCAACTTATATTTCACCATCAAAAGAAGTGTGTTTCATTCAATAAGACAAGTATCATTGTAAGGAATCTTATCATGTTGACTCATCAATATCAGAAGATAAACCTGTTTCTCAAGACAACTAGACAAGAGGCTAAGAAAAATACCAACCCAAGGAAAATCAGTAGCTTGTCTGTATTTTCTCTTCGGCCATACTTGTTTAAGATTTTCCGTGCCTGGCCAATCACAGAGCCCATTGTCTTCAGTTCCTCCTGGGTCGACAAAATAGTTTGAGATCCTTCCACTGTAACAAAAATAAAAAACTAACCAACATCACCATCAAAATTATTAAGAAATGGATTCATCACCAAACTCCTACAATATATACAGGGTGTCTCAAATAATGTATACTCACTACCACACAGATTTTCACAGAGATCGCATGAATGTTTGTATTACAACACCAACAATGTCCTCACTTGTGGGAGACATTGCACATCAACAAGTGAGAAGAAAACCAAACCCTTACCTAATATATCGACAGTCTTGAGGCTCTTCTCTGTGTTGTCGCGTATTAAGCGTGTCACAGTGAGTAGATCATCCGATAGTTGGGAAGACTTTTTCATTAGTATGTCACGGCTCATTCGATCTCGCTGACGGACACTGGCATCATTATCTTCATTTTCTTCAATATTTGTGAAGAGTTCGTCTTTACTTTGCTGTAAATTGAACAATGATCCATTCAATATGACCATTTATCCTCTTATTATCATGTCATATTCAATAATAATAATACTCTGTAACTATAATGATCTATTATCTTTACTCTTTTCCTACTATTGTGTTGAACAGATCAAGGGCCACAGAGCCTACAGAAACAGGTGCAAGATGATACCAGAAAAAAAAAGAGAGCTTGCACATGAAGACACAATAGAAATACGTACTTGCTTGTACAATATTGTTAACTTGTAACTGTAGTATAAAAAGTAAATCTTTAAGCTAACTTAATCAAACCTTTAGCCCTCAATATCACAATCTCCATTACATGCAGCCTTACTTAACTAAGTATTGGCAGGTAAAATTGCGAGTAAGAGCCAGGGTGAGGTCGATAGAATTTGGGCTGGTTGTACCTTAACTAGGAATACACATCCAGTAAGATGAGTTTGAGGAATTGATCAACAGTGATTGTGCTAAGATTGACTTTGAGTCTCTCACACTCTAACAATTTTTGATATAGCAGTTACCCAAGCATCTAATTTTGTCTGAAGTAATGCTTAGAATCCTTAAGCCTTTTCCATCCACATAAATGTGTGACACTGCTTCTTGTCTCTGCTTCTAATAAAATCAAAACTAAGAAGTAGGCTCCATGCTGAAGATGATCTTCATTGCATGGTCTTCAAAAAATCACAGTATCAACCATTACATTTTCGGTGCTGGTGCTGACTATATCAAATAATGTTAGATTTTATATAGGCAAGGTGCAAGTCAATCTATATACAAGGGTACTGTATCTTGATAATGTATCAGTATACACTGTTAGTGTATATCTTGATAATGTATCATTATGCACTGTTAGTGTATATCTTGATAATGTATATGTGTATTTTGATTACTCTACTGTGGGTATGACTTAACAGAGCCTTAATTCTTCAAGTGATACATTTACTGCCAGCCTGGATTGCTTTGTTACAACCAGGCTTCATCACAAGAACTTCTTTCCACGGCCATAGTAACAAAAAGTACTCTTGGGTTACCACACATTGTCTCGCGTCACTGACAGTCACTGTAGACGGTTATCGCGGCAAGGACAACTGGTAAGCGTGACTTGAATTAACCATTTAGGTGCAATAGACCAGCCTGGATTGCTTTTGTCGCAACCAGGCTTCCACACGTGATATTTCCACGGGGATAACAAACCTAGGTTAACACACTTAGTCTCGTGTCGATCACGGTCACTGTAGACGGGTGTCGTGCAGGAGAACTCTGTAAGCGTGAATTAATTAACCATTTACTGTAGGTTTGATGGGCCAGCCTGGATTGCTCATCGCAACCAGGCATCCACACGTGATATTTCCACGGGGATAACAACCTAGGTTAACACGCTTAGTCTCGTGTCGACGACGGTTCACAGGACGGAGTGGCGGTGGAGGACTCTGTGTGGTGTGGTGTCCCGCCCCCTTTCAGGAGGGAGAGGATGGAGACGACGTCTTAACTAACCCATGGCTCAGGGGATACTACTTAAAATGAGGTTTTTGGGTGTGAAGCGATGAACAGTACAACACTGTTTCACTGCCCACCCCCCTAAAGGCTGGCTAACATACACTAATTGAAAAATACATGACCCAGTTCCATGTGTATTTTGATAATGTATATGTATGTCTTGATACTGTATATGTATATTTTGTAAATGTACAGTATATGTGTATCTTGATAATATATGTACTGTATATGTATATTTTGTTAATGTACAGTATATGTGTATCTTGATAATATATGTACTGTATATGTATATTTTGATAATGTACAGTACAGTATACTGTATAACTGGACAATATTTATACCCCTGTATAGCTGTATTGTATCTTGATAATGAATATGTATATCTTGATTATGTATCGGTACTGTATGTATATTTTGATAACCTCGAGTTGTCTTCCTCTCTGAAGTTGTATAACATTGTTGTGTTTTCTATATCCAGTATGGTATCTCCAGTTCCCTCAAGTACCCAGTTTCCTGGTTTCAATAAACACTTGATCATGGATAAATTTATTTATTTTAGGGAGGAGTCACAGAGACTTTCAAAAAATTAAAATGTCGCCATAAAAATAATAATAAAAAAAAAAGATTGAGAAACACTGCCTGAGTATAGAGGGTGTTTACCTGCATGACTGTTTGACTCCATTTTGGGTTCCTATGAAAGAAAAAAATATGTACAAGAAAAGATCTACTACAAACCACATCACTCCAGAGGAATAATATGACAAAATTAAGCAATCATTGGGAGTACTGTGATAGGTTACCTGGTTAATAGCGAGCTGTGATGTAAGGAGAGCATTTCGAAAGGCTCGGTGGTTGTCCTGAAGCATTTTGTCGCTCTTGGCAGCCTCCTCAGTCAATGCTATACGGTCTATTTCACTGTCTTGCTCCTGAAGAAAATTAAAATTATATTGATCACCTTAAGATTAAACACCCCCAACTTATTCCATCTGAAGATTAGACAACTAAGCTTATTTCACCTGAAGATTAGACACTCCAGCTTATTTCACTGGAAGATTAAGACAAATGAGCTTATTTCACCTAAATATTAGGCATACTGTACAGTATCAACTTATTTTACCTGAAGAATAGACATCCCAGATTATTTCACCTGAAGATTAACCACCCTTAACAGTACCTGGGGCAGCGGGAAAGGTTAGTTTTGGTTAGGTTAGTATTGTATAAGGGTGATTAATCTTTAGATGAAATAAGCTACAGTCTAATCTTAAGGTGAAATAAGGTAGGGTGTCTAAACTTCAGGTGAAATATGGTAGGGTGTCTAAACTTCAGGTGATCATTGAACCTGTGAAGAGAGATTAAATAGAACACTGTTACTTTTATATTTAAAGTTCATGTCCTACTGATTAATTACCAGCCCAGTAGCTTATTTATTCATACACATCTTCCAAAACACCAACTTTGGTAATCAACAGTGGTCAGATAAAAAATAAAAGTATAAAAACAATTTCATACTGACAACACTAAAGTTGTATTACAAGAGGTGAACAAACCAGTGCTAGACGCTTCAATTCTTCAATCTGCTCTCGGAGTTGACTGATACGAGAACGAACCAAAGAGCCAATTTCATCCAACTCAGCCTGAGACCCAGTATGTTCACGTATTTCCTGCAAATAAAACAAAAATATTCTTCACTGAATACACACAATAAGATTTACTAAACTAACTAAAATACAAACCAATAATCAAAGAAGCAATACTTGGTAAAGAAAGAAGAATGGTTTTCAAGAATAATAGTTTCTTAACCTGAATAGATAAAAGATAACCAGTATTTCAAGTTACCCTACAGGGCAGAGGCTGGTTAAGGTATCACATTAGGAAGAGAGAAAGTAGCAGTAGTAGATCCATACCATGTACGAGGCCAAGACATAGTGAAACGTAGGAGAAAATGGGGCCACTATGTTTCCACACCTACTTACTGGGATAAATACTACCAGTATTGATAAAGGTTGTGTAAGATTGATTAGGTGGACAGAGGTCAGTTTTATGGATTCATATACATGATACAGAAATTGTCAAGCAGTGTCAGAGAAACCACAGAAATTCAGCAAAATAAATTATAAAGAAAAGAATTCATGAGCATGTTGACTTAACCCCTTGATTATAAGGACTTAACCAATTAAGTATAGTGACTTAAGCCCTGATTACAATGTCATCATACTCCATGGGTTAATGTCACCTTGGCTGGCAAACATTTACATAAACTGTTTTGAAAAGAGACTCTCCAGGGAAGATTCCTACAAAGGTTCAGTATACTGTAAATGAATTGGTAATTTCACACAAAATTATTTTCATTTTCATAATAAGGATGATCTATGACAATGTCTGGCACAATTTTGAAAGAGGAACATCCAAACAATAAATCTGGAAAGGTTCACACACAAGATGGAATGATTCTTTGAGCTTTTTTGTATGGCTTCAAAATAAGCTTTCCTTAAAACTGTTTATATTATGGTTTTATTCACATGTACCACATGACATACCTGTATGAGGCTTTTCACTGTCACGTCATATTTCACAATGTCTTGTTTGACCACACTGATGTACACTTGGTCGTCTTGTGGCATTGTGCTTGTTATTGGTGTCGGCTGCTGTATTCTGAAACAATAAATTACATATATCATCTTCTTTATGGACTCTGATTAATTATTTAGCTCAGGTGAATTACTGTAGCTTTATACAGTACAAACCTGGCCTTAATTCTTGAAACAATAAGGAAACATATGAATATAACTCATTTAGGCAGATGCAAGGGTGTACTGGCAATTTCTTTGGTAAAATTATCATTTTGGTCATGCACCTATTTTCCAAAGGTTAGAATCGTTCAAAACACACCAAAAACCATCGGAAAGACATAATTTCAACCTAACCTTACCTAAATTCGATGCATGACCGAAATGATAATACCATTTCTTTACAAGTTATGCAGAATAAAGGTCGAAGTTCAGATGGTGGTGTAATTCGCCAGATAACGTTATGATGGCGCAGGTATTTAGATACATTTAGGAACCAGTATATACCCAGTACTTGCCAACAGTGCGTAATCGAGACGTAACTGTCAGTCCAAGCGAGTGACGAGCCAATCAGAAAGAGGATAAAGTAAAATAAAGAATTACCATCTGTATAATCATCTGTAATCACCTTTCCATAACACTATTAACGCCCTACAATAAATACCATACATTCTCCGCCATTTTTAACATATTAGAAACACATCAATGGGATATTGACATTTCTACATTTTTTGTCTTTTTTACCTTTAAGGGAGATAATATGTGGCGAGTGTCTAGCCTGGTGTACAGTAGGGCTGCTGCCAGTGACAACCTCCACATTCACTTCCTTCAGACCTGCTGTGTATAAATGTTATGCTCAGGGACCCTTAACTTGAGGCTTTCATTTATAACTAATAACAACAATCATATCGTTAACAATAGTGATATTATTGGCTGTGAAATACTGGAAATATTTTAAAAATAGAACATAGTACACAAAAAGTATTTAATTCCTAAAATTCTTAGGTAGTTTGTGATTAACAAGAGAACATGTGTCATTTATAGAATGGACAGATCACAGGTCTTTAGATTTATTCTTATTCACTTTCTTTTCTGTTGGCATATGTTATATAATACCCTAGAATGTAGAATAATTAGATCGCATGAGGATTAGCCCTTGTAGTGGACTTCTCCCCTACAACTGCCTACAACTGCATAGCAGCCCACCACCTGCCATCACATTCCAATGTGCCGCCTTCCCTAGCAACCAACCAGATGTTACCGTATCTTAGCAACGAAACTATTCACCGGCTACTTCTCGGGTTTTCCCAACATTACTCATAGAGGACTGGCGGCTGCTGCCGGGTGTATATAAGCTCTGTCTCTCCATTGAGATTCAGTCTTATATAGGCTACAACTGTGTCGGGAATGTAATCACGGATTTTCCCGACACTGACAAACAGGATGTACTCCGTTTACACAAATACATTTGCGTGAGCTCACCACTAATTGAATATTTTTAATGTTAACGCAGTATTTTAAACAGTAATGCAGAACCTCCAAAAGTGTTTGCTGACCTGAATCCACACAGCTTTATTTACTTTACTTTATTCTCTTCGCCACTGATCAGCCTGTTAGCCACTTGGGCGCTTGGTCATGACTCACGGTTACTCACTGTTGGCAAATACTATAGGTATGTACTGGTTCCAGACTGTATCTGTACCTTAAAACCAGTTCACAACTCTCACTCAAAACAAGTTTGTCATGAAAGTTTTCTGAAAGTGTGGCTTCTTCAATCACTGTAATATCTTAACCGATTGTGAAGTTATATAACAATTATTGTCTAAACGAGACACCCGCGTTTTGTGTTTCGGATAAGGTAAATTCTGCAGAAAACCAGACGGACGAACAGACACTAGCATAATATAATGAAAGTACCATCATGTCTGAGGGTTGGCACCCACGACCCTTTACTCTAAATGTTTTTGGGCTGTGTTTATCAATCTTCTAGATGCTGTATCTCTCCGGGGACGACAACTGTTAAAATGATTCATCCACCCCAGTCTCTGTCTTCCCCTGGCCCCCCCCCCCTACCCTCAATTTTACCCATTAATCTAAAATAAACAAAGTGCAACAATAAATACGTAATATACATCTACCCTACGAAACATTTGCTAGGTCATCATCGCCACCCAACACAGATACTTCAGATAAAAACAAATTTCACTTACGAACCTTTGAGAATTCTGCCTCTGTGCCTCGACCTGCTCAATGTCTCCTAAGAGACAGTCAAGGAGTCGTACCCGAGGCCTCCATCATCAACATCGAGTACCGTCCCACTGAACCAACACACCACCACGCCAAAACTGTTTATGGTATGAATCTGTACGGTTGAAGGGTAATATTATTTAGAAACTATACAAATTACCCAGTATCTTCCAAACTATACAAATTACCCAGTATATTCCAAACTATATATATTACCCAGTATATTCTAAACTATATATATTACCCAGTATATTCCAAACTATACAAATTAACTTTTCACTTTTTACTTTAATCCTCTTCACCACTGCTCGATAGCCGCTTGGGCGGTCGGTCACGTCTCTGTTACGCACTGTTGGCAAGTACTGGGCATGCACTGGCTCCTGAATGTATTTGAACCTGCCCCAGTGTTGGTCAAGTCAGGTCTTGAAAGAGCTCACAGTTTGTCCCGTCACAACACTCTCTGGCAGATTGTTGCAAGAGTTCACAACTCTCACTCCGAAAATGTTACCCCTCACAGTTTTCTGGGCTTGCGGCTTCTTCAACCCTGAGCTGTGACCCCATGTGGGGCGAGCGTCCGCCAGCTCCAGATAAGGAAACTAGACCGAATAGTGCCCTTCGATATGCTTATACACCTCAATTGGGTCTCCCCTTACCCGTCTATAGTACACTGTATAAGCTAGGCAAGTTCAGACGTTCCAATCTCTCAGGGTAGCTGAGGTGCCCTAGTGCAGGCACCAGTCTAGTGGCCCTCCTTTGGACATTTTCAATCAACTGACAGTCCCTAGCATATCTCGTGGACGGGGTGACAGTACTCCAGATGGGGAAGCATTTCACTCTTGAAGATCGCTACGAAGAACTGAACGTCTTGATATCTGAACGACCTTCGTATAAGACCTAATAATTTTGTTGCCTGATTTACCTTCTGTTCTCAATGGCCCGAGAACTTCAGCTCATTGTAAACATACACGCCGAGGTCCTTTTCACATTGTCTCAATTAATGCAGCTTCTTCGTCCCGTTGGGACATATGATACCCCTCCTTAGCAGTCATATCTTCGACTATTCTTGGAGCTCACAGAAATCCTTCTGCAGCTCTTCACAGTCTGCTTGGTTCTTAATTTCCCGAAATAACTTGGCCTCATCGGCAAACATTTTTATGGAAGATTGTACAGCTTCAAGCATGTCCTTTATGAAGCAAACAAACAATACACTGCCCTGTGGTACTCCGCTTGTGACGGGTAAACATGGTGATTTCGTGCCATTAATCATCACACAGTGCTTGCGGTCATGCAGAAAGTCTTCTATCCACGCTAAGACATTTCCCCGAATCCCGTACCCTTCCAGTTTAATTTTCGGCCTTTCGTGGGTACGCTGTCGAAAGCCTTGGTAAAATCTAGGTATATATTGTCGATAATACCACCCTGTTGCAGAATATGGGTCCAAATATTCAATACCTTGAGTAATTGTGTTAAGCAGGAGCACCCCGGCATAAAACCGTGTTTCGTAGTAGATGTTCCATAGTGGCATCTCTTATAATGCTCTCAAGTACTTTACATACTATGCTGGTCAGGCTCACCGGTCTATAGTTGTTCGTGGAGTGACGCTCGCCCTTCTTGAAGATAGGACTCACATAAACCATTTTCCAATCATTGGGGACCTTTTGTTCAGCCAGGCATTTACAAAACAGGATCTTCAGGGGCTCGGCAAGCTCGTTGCACAACTCTCTTCGCACTCTAGGATGCACCGTGTCAGGCCCGGGACTCTTATGGACCTTTAGCTTTGACAGTTTATTTCTTATAACCTCTTCTGTAAACACAATGTGGGTCAGTTCTGTGTCGAACAGTCTGTTGTAGTGGAATTCTCCCCTACAACTGCGTAGCAGCCCACCACCAAGCGTATCCGCATTCCAATGTGCCGCCTCCCCTAGCAACCAAGCGAGAGCTGTCCCCAGATGTTACCGTATCTTAGCAACGAAACTAGTCACCGGCTACTTCTCGGGTTTTCCCAACATGACTCATAGAGGACTGGCGGCTGCTGCCGGGTGTATATAAGCTCTGTCTCTCCATTGAGATTCATTCTGCCCATTTTCCTGAACAAGCAACATCTCCTCCAGCAAGCTCCACGCTGTTAACATTTCATTCAACCAGGAGGCCAGCAACAGGCAACACCTTCTCTAACGAAGCTCCTGCACATCTACCTCCTTCAACACGATACTCCCGAACGTCTTCTACTGAGCTGCTCCCCACCACACGGCATCTCCAGCACCAGACTGTCTATCATATAACTTATATATATTATATAAGAAAACCACATTAGAGTTTCCTTCCATCCTGAGTGCTAGACAACATTAATATCTCGATACCCCTACAATGGTGACTCCCGGAGATAAGCACTCACACAGGATGGAGGACGAACGGATCTCTCTGCCGATTTTCAACCACAACGTCGAGGACTGGCTCGACCATGTGGAAGCAGCCCTCGCCGGTTCACGAGCTACCGACGGACAAAAGTATTGCGCCCTGCTTTGTGCCTTACCCACGGAAGTGGCCACGCGGGTCTCACAAACCATTTTCAACCCTCCAGATCACAACAAATTCGCTACCCTGCGGGCTGCCTTGAAGACGTGTTATCAACAGACCAGCCCCAATCTCCTGCAAGATCTATCCTCTACCTCCCTCGGGAACTCAACCCCGGGACGTCTATGGGAGGAGATGTGTCGGCTGAACTCCCGTCACACAGACAGACTCCCCGACTCTATCCTGCGCCAGCTTCACGCACAAAAGCTACCCACAGAAGTACGCAACATCCTGTCCGCAGTAGATTACTCTTCGACACCGGAACTATATGCAACCGCGGCAGATAGAATTTTTAACGAATGCGCTGCTGCACCCCTTGCCGCCACGGTCACACCAGTACCTACCATCGAACTTGTAAGCCGGGTCAACACCCCTCAGCCGAGCAATACCTCACAAGACATCAAGGACCTGTTGCAAATTTTGAACCGCAGGATGGACACTATTGAGCAGTTCTGCTCCTCCATACCCGCTGCTGCGCCGGTTCCTGACTCACACACTACGCCCTACAAGTTCCGACACACAGCAGCCAACCCCCAGCACAACAAATTTACCCTCTTCTGGTATCACCAGACTTTCGGCCGCTATGCTCGAAACTGTGAGCCCTATTGCACCTATTCGGGAAACGGCAACACCGGAGGCTGGTAGACGCCTCGGCCTCCGTCCCTCCAGGCGTCTCATTACTGAGCGTCACCGACCGCACCTCCGGCAAGACGTTCCTCATCGACACCGGTTCAT